GCTGAACGCGGACGCCGACTACGTCCTCGAGCGAGTCCAGTCGCCCTCCTTCATCCGCTTCCCCGAACGGCAGTCGTGGTACAAGCCCGTGACGGCGGAAACGCTCCATTACTACCTGTGCAACACCCAACGCCGGCTGATAAAAGAGCTGTTACCAAAATACATCCTGGATTTCTCGCTCTTTGCTTACCCCCTTCCCAACATAACCAGCGAATTCTGCAGGCAATGAGTCGTTCCTTTCGGGATCTGGTGTAAACTCTGCCTTCGCTGCGAGGATTTGCTCGTGCGGCCATTGCTGCAAATATCACCTTGCTGCAGGGCCTGCGAAACTCGCTCTTCTATGCATTATTTCCTAATTTTATACTTTTCAAACACTGTTTATATAAAATATTATATATTGCTTTTGCTACTAGAATAGTTTTTGTATTGTTCTGGTTTTAATGTGTACATATGCCGCTGACTTGAGCACAGTAGCTTTTGTATATCTATTTTGCTTTAAATTCTTTTTTATGGCACAACATGGAAAACATCCGTAAGGAAATTGAGAAATGGATATATTTTAAGTATTTTCTCCTCCTTTTTTGTGTTTTATGCTAAATAGTACGTGGCTGAATTACAATCATAATATAGTGGTTGATGCGCTAAAAATTAGCGCCGTTAAAACTGGTTCTGGACTAGGCAGGAGATAGGGGGTTTTTTTGAGTATGAGTAGAAGAAAAGGCTTTTATGATCTAGGCCCTATTTATCCTTTATTTTCTCATCTCTAGATGGTGCTTAAATGAGGCTGGTCTCTTTTTCTGTGACAGTAGTACCTCTGTCTTATTATTATTAATTATTATTTACCATTCAAATAGAACTAGTGATAGGATAATATTCACTTTTGTGCAATTTTTAAGATTTGAAAGTACCAACTATTTACCCAGCGTAATTTATCAGATGCAATATCAAGCCATAACAATTTTCTCCCCTCTCTCTTTCTCTCTGCATTAAAGCAATACAGATTTCTGATAAGCTCAGAACCTGTCCTGGTTCCTGGGACAGAAAGCAGCAAAGCCCCAGCCGCACGCAGCGTGCCAGCTCGCAGCCTCGGCGGTGCCTGCGTGCCCACGTGTGTGCAAACCACCGTGGAAAAAATGCTTTCTCCGGCCATGTTTGAAAGAATGGCGATTTGAGGATTAGTTCTCCCTTCTTTTATACGCGTGCACGCCGGTTTTGTAGCTACTGGTATTTAATAATGATCGTTAAATTGTAAAAGATTGGGAGGTAACGTAGAGTGTTGCTCCTGGGAGGCTGTGTCCTCGTTTGTAATAAAGTTTTTATATGAATTAGTCTGTTGCTGAGTGCTTTTCCTTCGATGTTAGTGTTTATTTGCATTCTTGCAGAGGTCGCCTGCCCCTCCTGCTAAGCCACAGTGTGGAATAGGACGGAATAGGCAGGTCCTGCCTCGATTAATTTGTGTTTTAAGTGCCAGAGCGGCGGTAACAAGTGGAGAAAGAAACGCATCCGAGACGATTACGCGACAAGGGCAATTGGATGAAAAGCGGCAGTCAGCAGCAAAATAGGCGCCTAATTGCTGTGGAGTTGATACAAAGCAGTAGGGATGGATTACGGATGCTGCGGGAGCCGGTGGTTTCCGGGGATTAATCTCTCAAAAAGGGGGATGGAAAATTAAGGTGTTTTCTTTAGGATTTGTGAAATTGCCTGAAAGAAGGGCATGGAGCCACATCCAAGCGCTGGGATGAAAAATCCTGCGTAGGGCCTGACTTAAGTAACTTTCCAGATTTACTGTATCTATAAACTCTCCCGGCGAAGTCACCGCCTCCCTCTGTTGAAGTCCGTAGCCCAGCAGAGCCTTTGCCTTGGGTGATTTTTACCTTTGCTAACGGGGTCGTGGCTGGGTACGAGAACGATGACGGCCGTGCTCCTGGATTTCACCTCCCGGCTGCCGCCTCACCTCTGCGGCCACCTACCCCGTGCGAAAAATGGGGCAGAAATTGGCTTCGCTCCCCTCGCACCCTGTCTGGAACCTGCAAAATCTCTCTCTGTCCCCAGCGATTCCGGTGACGAGGTGGGAATGTTTGGTGCCCGGTGCTGGAAGAGCTGGAGATCTGTCTTGTTCTCCAGCCAAAGGCACCAGATACCGGCGGGGAATCGGATTTGATTTTGTAGAACAGATGCCGACGGTGGGGTGATCTGAGTTTTAATTAAGCCTGACCTTAGGGTCTCTAACTAGGAATAAGCTGGTTAGACTTTTCTGTCTTTGTCTGCTGCTGTGAAGCTGAGGGAACGTTTCCTGCTTGTTTAGCGATTGGGTTTTTAATTAAATGTTTGTTTCTCAGTAGTTTTAAAGGTTTGTGCTGCTTGTTTGTTTATCTGCTGCAGCTCCTGTTCTCTATATTAAATTTTTGTCTCTTGTCCCCTTAATCTAATTTATTGCACACAGAAGGAGTTTGGTTTTTCTTTGACTGTCTCCTGCTCCTTTTCTGGATATCATTGATCACCTTTTTCTCTTTAAATAAAAGCAAACGGCCTCCCACCTCCTCGCACCCTCCCGTAAGGAGGGTTTTAACGCAGGCAAGACCTCGTAGCTTGGGCAGAAGTTTGTCCCGTTCCTGGCAAAAATGTGTGGAGTGTGGAAAAGTCCCCCAAAAGCTGAAGCGAGGGGCGTTTTGTCGTGTCCCTCTAAACCTTATTTCTCCTACTTGATCGAGGTTACGGACCATCTTTGATTTTCTTACCCCTTTGCTGCAATATGAAAAATCAATTAGGTTTCCATTAGCGGTACTTCATTTTATCCACGGCCAATAATACAATTTCCTGAGAAAGCTTTTGGCCAAGTTGGAAGAAAAAAAAAAAAACCAAACTCATCTCCCTCAGCAGCTGTATCGTTTCTTTCTTTTGTCAGGTGTTTCTCTGGTGTGGAATCAATCGGGAGCAAATTCCACGCTGACGGGAGCCGCTGGAGGTGGGAGATGCCGAGCAGGATCCAGCCCTCCTCTGCGGGGACCGGGGACGCGTCCACGAGAGCAGGGAGGAGGGGACCTCACAGCAGCTCGAGTACAACCCAGGAGGAAGCCGTGAAGTTACGAGCTGTTTTGGTTTTAATCAAACTGGTTGAACGTTCCTGCTTTCTGATCTGTTGCGGCGTGGCAGCTCCGTTTCCCACCTTTCCGTCTCCACGCTTGCAGGCACCCAGCAGAACCACAAGGCGATCTTGCCTCTCTCGAATTATTGTATTTTATTAAGCCTCGACGCAGCACCGAAAGCCCCAAACTTCCCCAGGTAAACAACGTCAGGTTTGGGCCTTGGGGGTTTGTCGCTGCATCTCCCTCCCTTGCTTTTTTCTGACGCGTGGCGGCAACTCCCACCCTGACCCTGCCGTTCTCTTGGATTCCCCGCGGAAGCGTGCCTGGATACGTGGAGATGCTCCAGCAGTTTAATTCCACCTCGTTCTTTGGAGAACTTCCGATTCCCTCTAAATTACCACAATGTTATTAATTTGTCGTTAGTCCCTTTTTAGCCTGCTTGTCTAAAAACAGCCAAACAAAAGGAAGCGTTTTGCGTGCTCGTGAATTTGGCCGCTTACACGTACGTATTTATTCCTCCTTCCCGGGTAGCTCTTGGACCTGCTAATCCATTTCCACCAAAGCTGAGAGGGGAATTTATTTTACTGCATCCCCTTTCATTGCTCACAGCTCTTGTGACTTTAACGCGGTGCTGCAGAAAGGAATCGAGCGCTTTGCTCTTCTTGGGTGAGTGCTGGGGAACGGGGACCTGATGGTTTCTCCTTCCCTTGAATTGCCGCCCAGCTCCAGGCAGGAATACATTCCTATATTTTATTTTGTTGTTATTTATAAGGAATACATAAAGATTTAACAATGTGAAGTTTTGTGCTGGAGAGAGGATGGGGCATAAAATCCTTTTTCTGAAGGATTTAGTGATCCAGCATCCGAAGATAACTGTCCGTTGTCGGCCACCCTGTCCCGCGTATCCCTGTCCG